ACTTGAAGTACTTTTTTCAGAAAAAATTTCTTTTTTCTCTATCTCTTTCATAATCATTAACAATAAAAATAATCGTAAAACTAAGGCAACTTGAAAAGATGAGCAATAAAACACATTTAAAGACAACTGATACTACCCTTTTCTTTCATGCTTCCTTTCTCTCTCTCTCTCTCTCTCTCACTTTCTTATTTTAAACAAAAAAAAAAGAAAATCATTTTTTTTTTGCAAATGAGCGAATAAATGAATGAATGAATAAATGAATATTCGCGCAACAAATTACATCAAAATCGCTGTTGTTATTGTTGATGGCAGCGTTGACAACAACAAAGTGATCCTTCGATGACAAATGGCAAGAAATTTTCCTTCCCATAAAAATCATTTCATTATACACAAACGCAACGTAAAATGCTACTTTTTCATTAAATTTAACACTTTGCAATAAACTGTGCCATTTCTTGTGTCACTTTCCAAAACATCGATAGATTCCATTTTACATACGTTCTTACGTTCTTACTTCATAAATATATCCAACATAAGGACTAATTAAAACAATTGTAAGGAAAGTATAATAATCCATCAGTAAAGTTTTAATCGAACATACCGGGATGTTATTTACAAAATCTATTATTATTAGCAAGCACGTCAAATAATCTGTCAAATGACGTTAAATCACGTACGTTTCCGTAAAGATTACGTAGAAGAAAAAAAAGCAAGTATAACGAAATTGAAGAGAAGTTAATACTTTATAGGAAATAAAGAAAATGCATATTTGTTCGACAATTTCATACTTCTTTTGCCAAATGAAAAATAGCAGGAAAGAGAGGACTGAAAAGATTTGAAAATAATTCATAAAATATTCTCATATTAGAGATTTGATATAATAACAATGAGATAGCTTAAAATTACTTTAACATTTTCATAATATATTCATTAAAACTATTGAAAACGATGACTTTTGAATTGCATTTACCATATGCGATATCACTGTGACTTCTTAGATATTAAAAGATCACAGAGGTATCACATGTGATGAAAAAGAATGAAATATAAGTAGTATGAGAATAACTTTATCATCTTATGAATTAAGAAATGATATTATTTCATTATTATGTGCTTTAAAAAAAAAGAAGAAAAAAGTGATTTGATATCAGATTACCTTTCAATTAATTTTCGCTTTTATTATACTAATGAAATTAATAAGAACTAATGGAAGTACAGTTCATTTTCCTATTTATATTTGATAAATTATACGCAAAAATATACTTCGGAATTAATTAACAGGTAATTTATGTCTGATACTTCACGTAATATCAGGATAAAAAATTGATTTAGTAATTTCGAAAATGAGATATAAACTGTAATGAGGGGAATGGGATAAGTTTATACAGGTTTGTAAATTTTTTGTCTGGGAAGAAAGGAAAAAAAAGGAATGAAAAGTAGAAGAGTGTTTGTTGGTGAAGTGAAGGGTATACTTTATGGTATCCTTGAAAAGATCCACTTTATAGATTTGATGTAACAATACTTGAAAAGAGGAAAAGAAATGAGCAAAGGGAAAAGAAAGGGAAGTTTGAAGAGTAGGAAAGAGTGTAGTTAGCCGTTCTATAACAGGACACAAATTTACCGAAATGATTGATGAGTTTATACGTCGCTATCGCTTATATGATGGGAATGAAGAAGAAGGGAAAGGAGGAAGAATGAGAAGGATATTTCACAAATGGCGCAACTCACATTGTCCACTCATTTCTCAATTCGATTGGTTCAATTTAGAAATTGCAAAAATTATCATGAAATGATAGTTGCCTAAAAATTCATTGCCCATTTTGGATAATCTGTTCATTTTTCCTAATCATTATTTTAATACTTACAAACTAGCTGAAGAAGTACTGAAATAAGCAAATCTTCCCTTAATTTTTTTCTCAGTCTATTTTTAGCTAATATTAAACTAAAGTCCAGTTGAATTATGACTGATGTTCATCGATGATCCATTATTCCTTTCTATCGCCCCTTTTCCCGAAAAGTTCACGAATGCAAAACTAGAATAATGCTCAGAATGAAATTAGCTATATGAACTGGAAAAAAAAAATTGTGGAATGAAATTTTCAATCTGAATATAAGCAAATGAGTGTGTTAAATAATCAATTAAACAATTAAAATTAAATTTTCATCCGATTTTGGTTTTAAATGTAGTTATTTGAATGGAAAACTTGAACTTCTTCACATTTCAGTTTAACCAGACAAAAAAATGAAGATTAACTCCCATTCAAATATCCTTGCTGAATGGCATACCATACTATAACCTAAATCATCACTAAACACTTACCTCTTAACTGAGATTGGTTTTTAGTATTTAAGAATCAGACATGTTTTTCTTTTTTTTTCTTCCAATCTGCATATAAATAACATCTGTTCGTATATTCATAGTAAAGAAAAAAGAGAAGATTGTAAGAAGGATAAACGTCTTAACAACCCACAAAGTTTTGGTCTTTAAGAAGTCTTGGCTTGTAAGAGTTTTTGGCTTGTAGTATAACAAATATGTGAGGATCTCAGCTACTTCTTCACCTTAAGAGAATTTCAAAAAGAGAAATATACATAATTACAAACACAAATCACCCCCATCCTCATATCGCCGCCATTAGACAACAAATTTCATAGCGATCCGTTATGTAGAAAATCGTGAATTGTGGCATGGGCGTAGTTACGTGAAGCATTGCAGTTCCGTTTTTTTCCTCCGGATTGTTTTCCGATGAGCGCTATTTGTTTTGTATTTGTCTTTTCACAACTTTGATCTTTAAGAAAGAGAAATTTCTCCATACATGAAAGCATAAATTTGCTCACAATTTATTTCTAATTCTCATCTTTAATGAAATAAGGAAAAAAAACATAAGCTTCACATTCAAAATTCTCAAAATCAACTTTTGAAAATCTGAAGGTTCAAGGAATAATCAATCAGGGACAAGCTGGGCTTTACTGAGGCCTTCTTTACAATTGAACGTAACCTAAAATTTGCACTACTTACTCGCAAATTTTAAAGTGAAGCCATACAATCGCAGTCATTTTGAGAGGAACTCTTTTTCAGTGAATCAAAAGTTGAATCGTCCCATTCCATTCTTCTCCACTTCCTTTGCTCATTGTTAGCTGCCTATCCAATGCAAAATGAGCATACTTTTTCGTAAGACTGGAAAATGGCTTCAATTCCACATAACTTACTATTGGACGTTTTTCGTCATAACGAAGTGATTTTGACGGATTCATTCATGTTGTTGCCATTGATGAAATAAAGGACCTACGTAAAAACAGATTTCGAAACAATTTATTTCAGAATTTGAAATTTCTAACATTCCGCATTCAACGAAAAAATAATGCTTATTAGCTTGTCCACCCCCAACCGTTATCTGCAAATTAAAAAAGTTTCGTGCATTCCCTTTCTTTTTTTTTTTAAACTCAGTGCTGTATTTAGATGAAAGCATTAACCTGTGATGAAATACGCGCCACCTTCATTAATTTCTTCAAGGATCGTGAACATACATATGTACATTCATCATCTGTCATTCCTTTCGATGATCCAACGCTGTTGTTTGCTAATGCTGGGATGAATCAAGTGGCTGCTTTTTATGCATTCATTAGTTATTTATTTCTAATAAAATCGTCTGTATTTAATTGTCAGGCGGAAGTGTTCATCTAATTCGATATTAGAAATATAGCTTACAGCTCTCGGAAATCTATATTCAGTTGTATTTACTTCGCAAGATATATTAAGAGTTATTAAGATTTTAAGATATTCTGGAGACTTCTTATATTAGACAATTATTTTAAAAGTCATAATGGCACTTTAAGATGTAGTGTTCTAGCACGCCAAAAATAATTCTTGAGATACTAGTAAAGATTAGGCCTGAAAAGTTAAGTTAAACTGGATTTAAAAATTAAATATTAGAATAACTTGAAAGCACTATGAAATTTCTATACCTTAAATAGAAAAGGTGCTGTTTTCAGTATAAGCCCATATTTTTGGGCACGGTGGAACCATCGAGTGAAATGGCGAAGCTCAAGCGAGCAGTAAATACTCAGAAATGCATTCGAGCAGGTGGTAAGCATAACGATTTGGATGATGTTGGCAAAGACGTCTATCATCACACATTTTTCGAAATGCTCGGAAATTGGTCATTTGGGGATTATTTTAAGGTTCAACCAGAATTCGATTTGGCAAACTAATTTGTTCAAAATCTTTTCTAATTAAAGCTATGAAAAATTTCCTTATATTTATAATTGAATGCTTTTACTGATACTATTTTTGAGTTGGAAGTATGCAACTGGGCATGGGAACTGTTGACGAAAGTATTAGGAATACCTGGAGAACGCTTATATGTTTCTTACTTTGGTGGCGATGATAAGACTGGCCTTGATGCCGATGAAGAATGCCGACAAATATGGCTGAATATCGGGTAGTTAACTTTTATTATTCTGTGACATATTTTACTTTATTATTATTACATCCTTTTAAATTAAAATTCTGGTTCAGATCCAATTAGGAGCTGATAAAGTAGCTTTAAGTTAAAGCACCCTCCTCATCCGTTCCATTTTGTTTTCCTGGCGCACATATTCTTGTGTCTCGATTTTCAGCAGCAAATTGTTGGATGTTATAAGAAGTTTTAGAGTACCGCCGTCACATATTTTGTCGTTTGGAATGAAAGACAACTTCTGGGAGATGGGTGATGTTGGACCATGTGGACCGTGTTCCGAAATACATTATGATCGTATAGGTGACAGAGACGCTTCACACTTAGTGAATGCCGATGATCCAATGGTTGTTGAAATATGGAATCTTGTTTTCATTCAGTTCAACAGGTAACACATAAAATGTTGATTCAACTTTATAAAAAGATTAGTAAAAAATTATTAAATGTCATCCCGAACGTGAGATATTGCAATTTTAGAGAGGAAGACGGCTCGTTGAAGCAGTTACCACATAAACATATTGACTGTGGTTTAGGTTTCGAAAGGCTTGTTGCAGTTTTGCAAAATAAACTATCAAATTATGACACAGATGTCTTCACACCTCTCTTTAGCGCCATACATAATGTAAGTTTCAACCAATGTGTAATTTCATCGTGGAAGTTATTACTGGTATTTGTTGTGGTAAGTGCCTTTCTCATTCTCGTAATGCATATTATCTCACTAGTACGTCAGCTCATCTGATTCAATTTGAAAAGTGTAATTTATCTTGTTAATATCTTTAGCAAATAGAGGTCCATCTTCGATCTTTTCTTTGCTCTGTGCGAAAGTTTCAAATTTTTAACCAGTTTCCTAATGGAACTTCAAAATAATTTTGAAATTCCTTATGGAAGGTTTTTTGTAGGGCACAAAGGTACGCCCTTATAGCGGCAAAGTAGGTGCTGATGATGTTGATGGCATCGATATGGCTTATCGAGTAGTTGCTGATCATATTCGCACTCTTTGCATCGCCTTATCTGATGGCGGACGACCAGATAATACCGGCCGTGGGTTAGTACATCATCTTTAATTGATAGTCTACTTTTTTCTTTCGAATATAAAACACTAATCTTCCTCATTCAGTTTCTAGCCCACTATAATTCATTCTCATTTATAGTTTTAATTCACATTTTACTTCTATTTTCAGGTATGTTTTGCGGCGTATTCTCCGTCGTGGTATACGTTATGCTAATGAAAAATTATCAGCTACACCAGGTTTTTTATCGTCATTGGTGCCGACTGTTGTTAATTTACTTGTAAGTGTTAGTTCCTCATCTAGGTATGTTTGCCACGTTTATTTTCTCAATCATTAGTTACTCATTTAGGGAAAAACATTTCCGGAGTTACACAAAGACCCACAAACCGTTATGGACATCATCAATGATGAGGAAAAACAGTTTTTGAAAACACTTAACAAAGGACGGACGCTATTCCAGAAAGCGGCCACACGTCTTCAGGAACGCAATATTTTGCCTGGTTGGATTAATTTCTATGTTTTATAGGCCTACCTTGCATTTCCTTTTCTTTATCATATTGCTTTATTTAGGTAATGTTGCATGGCGTCTATATGACACGTACGGATTTCCACTAGATTTAACTCAACTTATGGCTGAAGAAAGAGGTCTCCTAATCGACTTTGAAGCATTCGAAAATTGCAGACAACAAGCTGCTGTAAGTCGTTTTTTTAAAGCAAATTTGCAAGAATTGAACCATTTTCAATATTTACGGAATATTTGGTATATACTTTGTAAAAAATCAATAAAATCAGGAAATATCTGCTGCTCGTGCCAATAAGATGCGTGATGCGATTGATTTGGATGTCAGTGCTATTTCGGAATTGAAAAACAAAGGGATTCCAGTAACAGATGACTCACCGAAGTATAAATATTACCCCTTACCTCCCGAAAATCAGCAAACGATGTACAGTAAGTTTTCGATAAAGTTTGACGAACTGTGAAGAAAGTTCAGCTTTGGGAGGTTACACCAAAGTTTGCAGATTTCGAGAAATGTGAAGGCATCATTCTTGCTTTGCGGAAGGACAAGATATTTGTGGATACTTTGAATTCGGAGGATTTCGGTGCAATAATTCTTGACAGAACTAATTTTTATGCTGAACAGGGTGGACAGTTATTTGATACTGGTGTTCTCAGGGAAGTTGATAAGGTTTGTTTTATTTGCAAAAATTTTTCCTCATTTATTCGAATTGCAAGAAATAAATCTTTGGTAATTTGGAGATATTAATTTTCGTCCAAGTTAATCTTGAATATTATATGTTTCGACCTTTAAAATACTTACAGGGTAGTGAATTTATTGTAAGCAACGTCCAGATCCGTGGTGGATACGTCGTACTTGTAGGTACTGTGGAAGGAGAATTATCTGTGGGCGATAAAGTAATTCAAGCAATCGATGAGGTATAGTTGCAGTTGAAACATAACCCTTTCAAATGTTGTGAAATTAAAAATTTTCATTATTAAAAGAAAAAGAAAAGTATTAAAAGTTTATTATTCTTAGCCCCTTCTTCTATGGGGAAAATAACTTATTGAAATTTTAAGCAGACGAGTAAAAGAAGGAAGGTATGAGACGGAAGGAGAGGAAATGAAAGGAGGTGAAAACTAGGAACTAGTTATGTGTCATGGATCTGAGTTGAATCTTCAAATTTTGAAGGTTCTTCACTTATAGGAGCGTCGCAATCTAATAATGAAGAATCACACCGGAACCCATGTTCTGAATTTTGCGTTGAGGAAAGTTGTTGGTGAAGTTGAACAAAAGGGTTCATTAGTTGCTCCAGACAGGCTTCGATTTGATTTAACTTCCAAGCAGCCTCTAACCTATGAACAGGTTTCTTTTGTGTCCTAAAAAATGTGCGATTTGCTAATATTTTTTACGCGAGAAATCATGAACGGATTTCAAATAGTACTCGCAGTTATATTGGTTTTCAAGATAAAAATAGTGGAAGAAGAATCGCAAATGTTAATTGATACCAATGCAACAGTGTTTGCTAAAAATGCTCCACTAGCGGAAGCTCGTCAAATCAACGGATTACGAGCAGTTTTTGAAGAGGTAAAGAAAAATTAATTAATAATTCAGTTTCAAATTTATGCATGGTCTTGATCCATCTAAACGGATATTTTTTGAATGATTTTTCCGTTTCGTTGTGTTTGAGGAAATACTTTTCGGAAACTTTATTGCTGTTTAGATTTGAAGTTAACGTAGAAAAAGCAATGTATATACGTGTATCACAAATGCTTTAGCATGTAGTAATTTTAGGCTTATCCTGATCCAGTAAGGATAGTGAGTGTTGGAGTACCTATCGAAGAACTTTTGAAAGACAAGGATGGCGATTTAGCTGTCAACACTGCTGTTGAATTCTGTGGTGGCACGTACGTTTCTTTATTATGGTTATGAAGTTATGTTAAGTGATTTATTGACTTATTCATTGCGAATCTATCGAAGATTGAATTTATTTGCCTATTTTCAGTCATTTTTTTTAGTTGGAAGAGTTTACACGAGCACTGTAGTAAATCCATGTAAAATAAGAAACTTGAGTTATCTATTTTAATACAAAAATCTTTATTCAGACATTTGCATAACGTTGGCCATATTGGCAAACTAGTAATCACTGTGGAAGAGGCTATTGCGAAAGGTATTCGACGAATTATTGCGCTTACGGGACCAGAAGCTTTTCGAGCGATCCACCGCGCTGATCGAATAGAACAACGAGTGGAAGAAGCACATAATGAAATAGCTACTGACCGCATTGTAACTCTAGATAAAACACAGTTTAAAACTGCATCCAAAAGAATTCATGATTTGTTTGAGGTTTGGCTTCACATTTCTTAGCAAAATATATTGTTTGCTTTCATTTTATTTTACATATTTTACAGTTATTTTCATCTTTTCAGGAAATTAACCAGTCACAACTACCGTACTGTCGTAAAGAGAGCATTCGAAAAAAAGCAAAAGCGCTCCAAAAATTATTAGATATGCGCGATCGTGAAGCGAAGGCAGCTGTTACTGATAAGGTTTGGAAAACTTTGTTCAATTCTAATTTACAGCAGTTTGATGGAGTTTTAGAAGTTAAAATGCAAATTACGACAGTATTCGGTTTCAATTCTTATGAGTGATTTTCAAAAGTTTAAATATTTTACCAAAATGTGTTTCAGGTGCAGCAGGAAGCTCGTGAATTGGATGCTTCGTTAAATGGTGATACTCTATACACTGTTCATATTTTCAGTAAAGGTGCCAATGGGAAAGTAAGTATTGATGTTTACATGAGATTTTCTTTTTTCGAAAATTGGAAATGCATTCCATTTCTAGAATCAAGCTCAGTCATTTATATCACTCTTCCTTTACGAACTGATTAAGACTTTCTGATTTCTTCTGATTTCTAGAAGTATTCAGGTATTAGATGGTGCTCTAAAATCGATAAAGAAATCGCATGCTGTTATGGGATTCTCAATTAACGATGATATTGGCAAAGTAGTCGTTGTGGCACGTGTTTCCAAGGTTAACCTTGTTTTAAATAAAATTTCTATTTGCAAGAAATATTTGTTTTAATTACTTTAACTATGTTTTATGGGATATACTTAAAATTTTTGTAGGATGTTGCAAACAAAGGACTGCAAGCGTCAGAATGGATTTCAAAAGTATGCAGAGTCCTTGATGGTCGAGGAGGTGGTACAGTGATACAAGCACAAGCTACGGGAAACAATACTGAATTAGTAGAGGAAGCTGCTCAAATCGCTCTGAAGTTTGCAGAAGTTACGCTTTCTTGATCTCTTATTTCGATTTAAATAGATTCCTTTAATATAAGCGTTTTAATGGTTCAGGAGTTCTGCTGTCTAAAATGAATGTTTCATGGACAGAATTTCCAGAAATTTCAATCAAGAATCAGTAATCTTACTGTCATTCAAGTCATCGTATTTTTAGTTCTTTTGAACTTACAAATGTTGCTTTTTTCTTTATATGCGGAAATTTTTCCGAAAATTCACACTTTTGGATTACCGTAAATGTTTACGTATTGCAGAATTTTTCAGCGTAATTCATTATATTACTAAAATTTGACTCTTCATATTCATATTTTTGTAAAACGAAAGATGAGGCGAACCTTTAGAGGATGGTTTACCTTTCACTGCATATTTAATCAGTTCAAGTTTTACCTGATCAGCATTTCACATTTCGAAGGTTTCGCATCTCTCGGCTATATCATGTCTTTGTTAGTTACATTTTTTCTACGACATTATACATTTGTCTCATGCCCCCGATTCGCTCAATTCTAGCATGTTTTAAACATGTGACATGCCTTAAAAAAATATTAAGACCACCAACGCTCTATAAAGAAAAACTTCTACGAAATAGTAAAGAATCAGAAGACATTCATCCCATCCTCCCTTTCTGCAGAATTTTTGCTTGTTCCTTGTAATCCTTAATTGCTTCGCAAAGCTTTCAGTGTATCTGACAGTACACTATGGTCATTACTACCACATACGCCAAATTATTTATTCAAAATAAGAAGTATAGCGGTAATACAGCGGTTGATAAAGGATAAAATTGTAGAAAAAAATTGTCTTTAATTCTACTGTTCTTTTTTCTCTGAGAACATTCAACAACAGGAACGAAAAATTTGGATTGCTCCATAGAAAAAAAACGAAATGTATGGTACACAAGATCAACATTATCCAGATAATATAGTAAATAAATGAAAGCTGTGGGGATGAGATATCTCAACTTGACGATTGTTGAGAAGACGACCCATTCCATTCCTCGACAGTCAAATTTAAATTTCTTGGATGTCCACTATATGTTCTTTACATACAACATCGGTTAGATGATCCAACAGAGTAGTTAAGCAATGCTGATAAGCTCGGTATGCAAATAAACACATAAGTATTAATATATAAATGAAGCAATACAGGTTCACCGTATGAAAAACAATGGGGATGAAGGTGAAAGCAAATCAGATATAAAAACCATAGAGAAGTAATCTATTTATTGCACAGAAACAACAATATCGAAAGCAATAAATGGTCATTAGACAACGTCTTCAAATTCGTCCTCTTCATCATCTTCATCACTGAAGTAAACTCGGTTCCCAAAAACTCCAGAGGAGCCCGGAAACCGCTGCAATCCATGTAAACTAGGCTAAAACATTCATCAATACTAAAATACGTGGGCAGCATGCACTAATTATTTCAAAACATGAGTGCAAGACTACTATCTGCTAAAGATAATTTGACAGGGCTTTCTAATTTAACCTGTCATTGACAATTTTAGAGCATATAATTCATTCCGACTATTACTACAGGTGATAAAGAATAAGAGCTGGAATGGTATCACTAATAAATTCACCTGATCTAAATTTGTTCGCGAGATTTTTTCTAATTGTATGCAAATGATAACCTGCATAACATGAAGTCTTTTGCTGGTGTTATTAGATACCCCATGCTTCCTCTTACGTGAAGACTTCGAGATGGTGGGATTACGGAAGCGTAAAGCACACCGAAATTCCTTGATAATTGGATAAATCACTTCAATTGCTTTCATTACATCACTTTCAGATGCAGCTAGAAACAACCAAAAAATCAGATAAATTTGAGAATTTTATTTTCCAATTATTCTTTAGATCGTATAATAAACTTGACGTTTGCAAACTTACCGCCAGTAACGGTAATGCTGCCTGTTGTATGAATTCGGAGTGTGGCTCGAGGATTTGTAGAACGCCATATGAGGCCAACTGATAATTCCGGTTCATACTGAGAACAGTCTGGATATTTTTGCGCTAGCTAAAGAAAAATTCGTTAGGTACGTCACCTTGAAAAATAGTTTTGTGAGGCAGACAAAAGAAGCAACTTCTTCAATTTTTATACGAAAAGGCGTTTTACAAGTTGCAAGCACGTTACAAACGCGATAATTTTCTTACTTCTTCAATTTTCACACCAAAAGGCATTTTGCAAGTTGCAAGCACGTTACAAACGCGATAATTCCGAATTCGAACAACGTCCATCATCCTGCCCATGCTTTTTTGGACCATGCGCGCAACACCTCTGGCAGCACGTTTGCAATCACTTTCGCTACAACATTTACACAGTTTTAACTTCGAACGAATTTAGAAGCACGAATGGAACTTCATTTTGACCAAAGGGAAATGTCTTGCAAGCGAAATAAGTGTTGAAAATCAAATATACCTGCGACATCCGACAATATAAATTTTTCCGGAACTGTATATTTTGACGTAACACGAAGGGTTTCTCTTCTGCTTCAACAAGACCTAAAATTACGTAGTTGTGTAATTAAACGTAAGAAAGTAATGATGGGAAGTAAAAATATTTGCGATATGATGTCTGGTTTTTTCATACAAAACTTACATAACTTAATCAAAGGCAAAACAACTCTTGAAGCATAATTAACTGCCAAATATGATCAGTCATCAATAATATTGTGGTAACAAGAATTCAAATACTAAATTTCTAAGTCAAGCGGCGTAATTTCAAACTGCACATAAAATCAACCTGTTTAAAATTCCAACTCCGTAAGCAAAATATTACTGAACAGCAGAAAAAAAGTGTGACAAAAGGCAAAAAATTTACAACAACCACTTGAAAGATCGTAAAACACAATTCTAAGTACTTACTCCTCGACCTCGATCGAATGCGACGTTGCCCGAACTTAAAGCTACGCGATGCAGATCAATATGCAGTGGAAGTGTATAATTACAAACAACGTTCCGGATCTAAAATTAGTCGAAGTACTATTCGTCAGTCTCATCTTCTAATATTATAAAAAAGTTACTTGAATATCAATTTCTCCATCTTCATCTCGGTCAACAGTCTCGGAGCTTGTTGAAGGCGGAGCTTCCTCCATTTGCTCTTCATATCCTATCTTTCCAGCGGACTGCAACATATGCCAAGTACGCAAAAATTTTAACAAGTGCTACAGATGCATGTCCATGAAACGTAAATATTTTCATTTTGAAAGGTTAGAAACAGAAATCTACAGTATCCACAATCGATTCCAGTTGCTCTTCATCTTCATGTACAGGAACATTGAGATGAAATGAATCAGTCTGAGAGAGACAAAATTCCGATACGGTTGAATGCTGAAAACCAGAAGTTTCCAAAAGACTAGTTCGAGTTGAAACTGAATGTTGTGAACTGAATCCTTCCAAAAAATTGTTTTTCGTCGTGTTGGAGTGCCATACTGCACCCTGAAGCACTTGTATATTATACCGAAACTCATGTTAATTCTTTATAATTGCTGAAACAGCTACACCACCACCTCAATGGATTATACTGAAGAGCAATCACTTTTCCAGTGAATACTCTAATCAACTTCGACTGCAACATAAAACATAATTTATCAATAACGAATCGCTAAATTTTTATTATCCAATAAGTTCCACATTTCGAAATTTAAACAGTACGAGAATGGAAAACCAGTTTATAAAAATAACGAAATTGACCACCACTTCGGTTTGCGATGAGACAGATTCAGTATGCAGCGATCCCTCCAATCCCATCATATAGGTGCTGTTTACAGTCTAAACACAATCACAACTGATAAAAGTAGGAAGAATGAACATGAGTAACTATTTCACTAACTCTTCAGTCCATTACTGAAACACAAACTAAGAGTTTCTAGACAACTTCCAAAATTAAGGCCAAAAAAACAAGTAATGGAAGTAATGGAATAAGTAATGGAAACCATTCTTCGCTGAGTAATTAAAATAATATTTCTGACAGCGATGAATCTAACACACTATGATTTATAACTGGACAGTGGGATTTCAAAAATTCTATCAGAAACATTTGGTGAGAGTGTGCAAATACTCTACCAATTACTAACAGAGAAATCTGAGTGATAACCTTATTAGCTGCACTGGTAGTGACGGAAGTGCCATTAAGAGCATAACTCCCGTGGTCATTCTGACATGCAGATATGCTCATTTTTTTTCTTTACCGATCATTAAAACTGCTTTGGCTGAATTGCAAACAGCTAAACACTGAACAACCAGTGGTCAAAATTCATCACCACCTGTAATTAATTAATGGTACTGAAGCACATATGCAGAGTCAGAAAGCTTCTTGGAAGTGAAACCAAAAGGTAAACAACTGTCAGGCGGCATCAATGGAAACGACCTAAGGTTAAAAATACACATGCACCACCACTACATTATACATATTTTTATTGCAAACTATCCATTTCAAATTTGAAAGGGTTCTTCGCTAACTTTTTCCTTCCTTTCTCTCAGCGAGTTATTTCATCCCATGAAACTCATATCAACTGACAAATTGTCTAGAATCCATCTCTTACGATGATAACTTCTAAGAGAGAACATTTAGGTAGTGTTGCCAAGAACTTCCATCACAACAACTACTCTATCAGGTCATCTATAAATGCACAGATTTTTTCACGCGGAAGTGGTTGTCTTCTTTAGCAATAATTAGCATTCTGTAACTACTGGAATCATAGTTATCAGCTACGCTCCCCCTAAGGAGATTCATCACATAACTCCTAAGTCATCTTACATTTTTCAAGGACACTAATACTACGACATCTCTTCTCGACAAATGTTGCTGGTGCGACATCGAACATATCCCCTCTCCCAAAGCCATAACCCCCACCAACTACACACCTGTATATAGATCCCGCACGTTACAGTAACCCACAGAACGGAAGACAAGTCTTCTTTTCGAGACTGCACTTTTTTACCATTCAAATTGAATATGCCACATTCATTTCTGTCTTCTGATCTATATACTTAAACGCTGAGAAAGCAAAGGTAAGGGTGATATTTGACGTAGGTTACACTGATGTGTTCCACCTACTCATTCTGTCCTTCTATCTTACCAACATTTGGTGATTCTGGCAACTTACAGATATATGATATCGGGACTTATGTGAACCTTGCAATAACCTCACATGATGCATCACTAATTTTAGAGTATTTCATTCAGACTGCGTTTTCTATTCTTCTACCAATATTCATCACTTTTAGCATCCATCTACTCAAACTTGAAACTGATCGAGATAACAGTTACTTCGATATTATTTAGGTCACTCTGATTTCCTTCATTAGTCGATCAGAAATAGCATCGATTAAAGACTCCAGCTTTCGTCTCACATGACGCAAGTAATACGTATGCCGTACACCGATTTACGTGAGATTAAATAGGATTGTATGGAACCACTCACGGTACGTCTGGTGCACTACCACTTCATATGAACTTTGAAGTGCAGAAGATATTCAGAGAACTACCTTAAAAACTCATTTAGAAAGTACATAAGAGACACACAATTCATCACATATAAAAAGTAAAACTTTAAACCAAGGGGGAGGTAAGTTTTCACTGCGGTCAGTCGGTGGCGACAAATGTTACATAAATTACGGCCAATATCGGACATTATGAAATTCATTGAAATGAAAAATATGATATTCATTTTACCTCTAAGAGATCTATTATAGATGAATGCTTTGCGAAGAACATTATCAGAGAGTCTTCTTAGATTGAGCTTTCCACTGCATCTGAAACACGCGGCGTCACAATCTGTACAGTTGCATTGAGTCATGAGATTAGATATGGTTCTTTGCTTACAGATTAGATGAATATTGCTGTTTTTGGTCCCTTTCTCAATTTCCCTTCAACATATTGCAGTATTTTCAGACTTTCCTTCAATATTCTACTCTTTCTAATTCATTATTTGAAATTTCTATCATGACATCACTTAAATGTCACTTTGTTTCTTTCTAGTAACTTTGCATGAATTGTTCGTCTCTATTGTTGTACTCTATTGTAACAGTAATAATAATCTCTAAGAAATGCTTTCGTAACAGCATATTGCATTATTTTCCAAGTCTTTACTTTCAAAAATTTCTTCAGCATTCTACTTTTTCAGTATTGTAGTATTTCTAATTTACTATTTAAAATTTGTTCCCGTATGCATTCTGTTATGGCGTTAGCGTTTTTTCTTTTCTCCATTTTCTATGTTCTCTTTCTTCAAACAAGCTTTGCTTCTTTTCTTCTTTACCGTTTCTTTCTTATTTCTTGAAATCAATTTCCATTTCGTGCTGTTTAACTTCCTTTAATTTTACGAAAACAGTAACATGTCAGTATTCCCTTAAAATTGTTTTTTAAGGAATAGACAGAATTTCTCGAATTCAAAGATCGGAAATGGTGTGCGACGCATGTAAGTTCTGCAGTTCCAGGAAAAATTTCTGATCTTTACTTTTAAATCAATTCTCCGAAGTTGACATTTTCTTTTCAGGATGCTTTTTTTCTCTCACCTATTTTTTTTTTTTTTTTTTGAACGTGTACTTTTTCATCATTTCTTTAAACAAGTTTTGGTCCCTTCCTTTTTTACCGTTTCATGAACTAAATAGTTTGCTCTTCTACTTAAAACTTCAATTTGATTTTCAGCTTCACTTTACTGTTTTTTAGGTGTGAAAAAACTTGGCAAGATAGCTACCATTGATCCATATCGAACGAAATCACGTAACGAATGCGCTGGGCCGATAAAAAAAGGTAGTGACGAAAATAAGCTCCTTTCAACTAGGAAAGACAGGTATATTTGTGGAACTTCCCAAATTATTTACCCTGTTATTTGGTAAATTGTTGTCTATGCATGAAAAACAATGTTCCGACACTATTATCTGCGACCTTCTGAAATTCTTTGTCAAGTCTTATTACCCAAAGCTTTTCACTTAAATTGGTATGTGACTGGTATAACTCAGCAAGGAATTTAGGACTACATCATTTTAACTATTATGAAAAATTTTCTTTATTTGATTTATAGGTTCCAGCCGTATAATCAGGAATTTAGAAAATGTCGAATTTGCAAGACAGTTGTTCATCAGATTGGTTCACACTATTGCCAGCAGTGTGCATATCAAAAAGCCATCTGTGCAATGTGTGGTAAAAAAATGGCCGATACCAAGAAATTGAAAATGTCTGCCGTGTAAATATTATTTTAGCATACTATTGAGTAAGTTCATAAAAGTTATTATAAACTTTCCCACTGATGATTGATTGTCCCATGGGATTCATGGCTGATTAAAGTTGTTTTTTTAGGCTTTTTTAGGTTTTAATTAGAAACAGGAAGCACCAAATTAGTGTCCAGTGCAAGCAGAGAATGTAGCCCGTTGCCAGTTTTATTGCCATTTGTTTGCTCGTAATACACTTACAGGTCCCTAAGTTCATTCAAGGATTTCAAAGACTAAAATATTAATTTTGCTTGTTTTTGTAATGCTATTTTTCACCATTGCATACATGAGTATGAATAGGGGAATGAATGTGGAATATGGAAAATATGAAAGCAGCTGTTACATTTATTATTCACAGTTTCTACCACCTCATAAAAAAAAAAATTGAATTTTGTAATTTCAAAATAAGTATAGTGAATGATTCATTTTCACTTTCTTGTATTTGCCACACAATTTTGTGGTTTTGAAAGCTGTGGATCGCTTTCTTATTTTCCCAAAATTTCCTGTGTTTCGTTCTCATTCGCCATATTTCCAATTTTTGTTATGTTTGAAATTACTGTCTTTTGCATGTACATGCTGTAATTAATCTCCTCCGTATCTGTGTAATTACTTTATTGAATTAGATACTCTACGTATCTTTCAGCAAAAAAAAGTGCAATCTGTGCCTTTTCAGTACCCAAAACTTGTTACAATGCTGCACATACATATCTGACAAAATGTTTTTATGGATAGCAGTAACAAATGTTCTACAATTTCAGATATACAAGTATTTAATTTTCAAACTTGAATGAAGCAACAACCATAGAATTGTTAGATTATGCGGAACGTTTGAAAATTTTGCCTTATTATTAGGTATAAAAATAATTCTCATTATTCGGGAATTTAGTTAAGTGTCAATTTTTTTATCCGTGTTTAATAAAGTTATGCTATAAAGTGTTGCATTGAGTAGTTAAACTTTTATTGTTAATAGAATAATATGGTTTATTAGATGAGTTCAACAAAACATCTCTCTTGAGTTGCTTTAGTTAAGATAGACAATAAATCCTACTTGATTTTGTATTTTATTCGTAATATGCTATGACTACCTTATTAGGTGAATGGATGGATGGATGGATGAATGAATATAATGTGTATCTGGAAAGAAATGGATATGTCTGAATAAAGACACTTATAATAATAATAGATTTCATATCGTTCACAAAAAAGTTTGTAATTGTTGGAGTGATCGTTGAAATGAACTCGAGGGTCTGGATTTACACATAAATCTATATAGGTTACCATTGCGATACGCAAAATATATTAACAAATGGTTCGTCGAGTTCAATCATTCGAATTTTATTCCTGTTTTTTATGGAATATAATTTGCTGAAGTTGGGAAGGTGATCCGATAGCATTCAACGATAGGAAAAGTATTCCAGCTTTAGGTGATAAAGGAATGATGCCGTTATGGAAAATCTGTTACAGAAATTTGAAAGCGGGTCATTGCATTATTCCTATTTCATTAGTCCTATTTCGTCAGTGAATTTCTTTTGCTGTCATCTAGTATTTCGCTTCTTTGGCGTTTTTTCAAAAATACTACTTTCTTTTATAAATCTATAGAGACAAGCTTATTCGTGAAAAGATATTGGCTTCTGTTTTCTTATTTCATATAGATGTTTTGTACTTGTAGAGGAGTATCAATATTTAAAAATTTCTTCATTTTGCGATATAATTTCTTTCAGACTTTAGTATTACCAAGAGGGTCAGAAGAACGAAAGGCGTTGCTGTCATTTAAAGTGTCAATATTATCAACTAATTTACCTTAAACTTTTCTTGAGAAAATGATAGAATGGTTTATTAACTGTTAAGGTTAACTATTTATGGAGGATTTCTTTACCCGCGATTGCTGGGAGGATTTCCTTTCTTGCAATTACTTGGAAGATTTCTCGTGATTATTTCTATTTTGACTTCTTTCTTTTACTAAACCTCACCTTTATCATTGCGCTGAAATTAATGAAATAAGAGTTAATATTGACTTCTCACTCACTATTCACTTACTACTCCTTCCCTCCTCCCCTGCCCCTTTTCCCATAATTAGTTGGTCTCGATTAGCAATTTTCACACTCTTGCATATTGCAAGTCGTAGTTGCATAAAGCTTTTGCTTAGGTGTATCAGGCTCATCAGTTTCGAGTTAATTGTTTGTTAATCTTGTTAACCTCAAACTTGCCACTGCTCTTTCTGATAAGGATTTTTTATGAAATAGAAGAGTTAATTAATATCATTAACGATGAGCTCTTTTCATCAAATATTTACCAATTTAAAACGAAATCAAATCATCCAAAATGACATCAGTCATATTTGCTAATAATGAAAATTCATTTGGTCGAAAATGACTTTTCTACCAATTTAAAAACTTTTAGGCCATTTTTTGTTTTTCCGTTTTCTTTTTTACTTTCATTCAACAAAGAAAGGAAAAACTTTTCCATATCATTTTTCGAAATGATCCGTTATTCTATGCACTGTATGAAAAAAAAAAAAAAAAATCTAACTGAAATTTCGTTGTGTTGGCTGCCGTTTTGTTTAGCAGATTTTATATACTTCCAATTTTATTAGCTAATTTTAATTTCATCCTTTAAATCCTTTTGTATTTTAAGTCCTGAATTATTACTATGATTGATCATAAAACTTAACGGAAATAATTGATCTTACCCTAAGAATTCAATGGATTGATATTGTTCCTTACTGGTACAAATTTTTTTCCACTTTTTGCTGGGATTTTAATTTCTTTTAAAATTCATTCTTGATCCACGTAGTGGACATACCTTGGGAGTAGTAATTCGGAATTTACGTTTTCCACTTCCTTTATATATTATTACTTTCATTACTGCTTAGTGAATTATTATGACAGATTACTGCACTGTGATCATATCCTTTTGAGAATCTTTCCTCTTATCTTGAGTTGAATTTATTTTTGCAGTTATGAAAACTATTTCTACCAAGATCCGTTTACTTCTTTAGGCGAAGCAAGTTCTTCAGATGCCATTGCAAAACAGGTTTTTAAGGACATGCCAAATTTGATATGCATTCATTTGGCTGTCTCTCGATTGTCTTCCACAAAAGGTAAGGAGAGGAAAATTGCATAAGGTATTTATTTGTATCATCGATCATTGGTAAGAGTACGAGAATTTTTCCCGATTATTAATGAAATAAATTACATTAATCGAGACGAGGTCAGTTTGAGTTCACTGTTATTTTGATTTTATTACAAGTGATGGTTCTTGCTGCTAAAACTTATGCTATAACATGAAATCTTTCACTTTGAATCTTCTGTTACTAATTAATTATTGTCCATTAATCATTGCTGAATCAATCTAATGATTGATTTTACATTTTATTTTTCCGCTCTTTTGTCATTTCAAATTTGGCCTAATTTTTAGTACCATCGATGTAACAATAGAGATGATGGAGTAGATGTATCAAGCAAATGCCATCAGAAGTCGATGGATGCTTAGCTTTGTTAAGCTATATATTCATATGATATACTTGTATTGAATTTTTATAACTTCTGTCATTTTGGTATTAACTTTTTGTTTGACTCTTTCTTTTTTCACATGTCATTATTATATATTTTTCATGTTACATTCCTCTAATGCCTATCTTCTGGGACATTTTGAAATGTTGTAGCAAACCAATAAAGTTTTCTTTTTTCGTCTATTTCCTTCAAATTTTAGTGTTATTAGGGACTAATTATGCCTGTTTTCTATCTCTTTAATACTTACTGTTGTATCATTGTTTTCACTCGTTCCTTAAAAAAAAATGCGTTCATTTTCGTCTATTAACCGTGTGGAAAAAATTTGAACCGTCCATTTAGTTTTGTGTATAATTTTTCTGTTTTGAATGTTAGACGCAATCGATATGTCACTTCAACTTGACGTAAAAATGAAACGAAATCAAAAGTTAAAATGAATTTTTAAGCGTCTATAGAGGAATATGTTGCTGTATTGAAATCATAAGAGAGGAGTGATGCGCAGTTGTCCTCAGAACAATGCATCGTTTTTTTTTCTCACGATTTTGGACCGTCCTGATATTCTCTGGCTTTTCTACCATTCCTGGTATTTTGTGAATTTGGTATCATTTTTAATGTTTCCCGAATTAGATATGATTTTTGGTATTCCTTGAATTTATTATTATTTTGGCACGGATATATCATGTGTACCAAATTTCTGTTCGTAGGTTTAGAAATCATAGCGATCTCGATGATAATACAATAAAAGTAAGGCTAATGCTGTGACATATAGTAGAAATATATCGTTTTTCTTGTTACGTAAAATATTCTCTTCAGAAAATTTAGATCAGAGGAGCTAGGCCTACTTTAATCTTTACTGATCCTTCCCGTCGATCTTTTTCTTTAGAAATAATCTTCAGTGATGAATTTGCAGGATAACCTGGATCATTCACGTTTGATGGTGTTAGTACTTCACGTCATTCTTGTCTACACTTAGATCTTTCAGATCGTATTTCACTTTATTTCAGATGAATGAGGTGGAGCGGATGAATACAGTATTGGTGTTATTGTCGGTATTATTACCTGTTGCTATTAATGGTTTATCTGTATCACGTCATCCACAGCAAGTGAGGCAGGTAACAATACAAGTCAACGGCTACGAACCAGTAATTGTAAGTGCATTTGTTGTGCTTTCCAATGTAAAGAACAAAAAAATAAGGATTAAATACATGTAAGATGTATATACAGTTACTAGTTGTAGTGTAGTATCTTAACATTCATTGTTAAGTATTTGATAAGAACTGTATCAACTTCATTTTTCTTTGTTCTCGCGAAATTTAGTGAGAAGTTCATCGTATTTCAAAGTTGAAAACACTTAAATATTATCGGAGAACGATGAAATGGATATTCGGAGATCTCTGGAAACTAAGAAATTACTTTTTAGCCATTTTAAACTCATGATGAGTTCATTGAGACAGATTAACTGAAACAACTGGAACAGATTAACTATTTAACAGTAGTCGCTTGTCTGCTGCGTAGATTTGTACTATCTGATAGAAAGATTCTGAACCAAATGATCAGAATGTCCCTCAAATCATAGAAATATTGACTTATTTGGGATGGATTAGGAAGCTTTTTTAATAGGAATTGTTAGCAAATACATGTTTAATGTCGTTTCTTTATGAAACATTGAATAGACAGCTAGTTTTAAATGTATTTTTTGATCTTTCAGGATGATGACTATATAGCTGTATCTATGGCTATAGAACCCGGATATATTGGTTTGTTTCTCCAATCATTTTTAACACTTTGATTGATAATGTATGAATCATGTCCCTTGGCATATACAGTTCCATTTAATTCCCAATAAAGGATCATTGCCAGCTTCTAATAAAAATTTATCAGAATTATTCTAGAAATTGCAAAGGTTCTTTGGAAATTTTTATGAGTACTTTTTAATTTCATATCTATTTGATTTTATATCTAATTTTAGTTCGTTTTGAACCTTTCGCAGATGCTGACCGCGTTCATCATATACTGCTATATGGCTGTACTTATCCGGCTTGGCCAAAGCCTTTTTGGAAGGGATTTAGTATTTGCCGAGGCTACGACTCACATATTTTATATGCGTGGGCAAGGAATGGTAAGTAATTTGTCGATAAAAAAATGAAGGAAAATATTAAAAAACAGTTCAGCATGGATAGATTAAGGTTATCATTCCGTACGAAAATTGGAATTGTAGTTACTAGTTTTTTGATGTAAATATTCTTTATCAAAACTATTTGCATTGTTAATATTTTGAATGCCTCGTCCTAGAGGGCAGGTTTTTTACTTAATGTTTTCTAAACGAAGTATTATACATATTTTCGATTAGCGCCATTCCTCTACTCCTTGATATAATTCTTGCTCTTCTGCATGGAAATAATATCAATTACATGGTAATTGCTTATTAGTATATGATCAGATGAAAACAACAAAAAATTGCATTTTTCTTCAGCACCCGATTTTAATTTACCGCAAGATGTTGCATTCAGCGTTGGACATAATTTCGATTCTGTAAAATATTTGATAATGCAAGTAAATCATTATTTATTGATACATTTTTTTATTAGTTCAATAAATTCTTCTTTATAATTTCAGTCATTCCCTTTAATTTTTAAGGCATTTCCTATATCTCTTGGTTATTTGTGTTTTATTGGTTATCTTTAACTCACTTTATCTTCCTTAACCTAGTTGTTTCTGCCGATGCTGGAAAATTTTCAAATAATGGCTGAAAGGTAGCATGTATAAGAAATCTAATAGACTATTTAGAATTTGTATAGACGATTTAAAATTTGGGCGAAATTACAGGTGCATTATGCGCATCCATTCGTAGGCAAAATAGCGGACTATTCCGGTATCACTTTGCATATGATTGATGAAAGGCCTCATCATTTAGCTGCTGTATTACTTTTTGCTTCTGGAACTTCAATTGAGCCTGGATTTTCTCATTTCCAAACGAATATAAGCTGTTTGTACAGGTTGGCAATTTCACAGCTTTCGGAAATTATTTTTCATGTATACATATATGTTGATAGCGAGTTTGATGTTTGTTTTGTGTAGTCATTTTGACAAATGTTTTAATAAGTGAAGAAAAATAACGGTTTCAGCAGTGATACACCAATTCATCCATTTGCATTCCGTACGCATACGCATAGCATGGGACGAGTTGTTTCAGCGTTTTATAAACATTCTGGCAAATGGACAATGATCGGTAAACGGAATCCGCAATGGCCTCAGTTATTTCAACCGATTGAAGAAAACTTGACTATTTTAAACAATGATTTAATGGCTGCTACTTGTGTTTATGATTCATCAATGAAGAAATCTGTTGTAAAAATGGGGTCAAAACAATTTCTCTTATTTTAATAAATTCTTAAAATCTATTGATACATTAAATTTTTTTGGTTAAGAGAACTCATTAGCGCCATATTTTTGCGTTTGTAAATCTTTAGCACACTGAGTCATAGGAAAATATTGCGAGGCTCAATACGAGATATCAAAATAAGCGTTGCCAAGATATATTGAAGCTACTCTTATGAATTGTTTTTTTTTTTTTTTTTCTAACGACAATAAATAAAGTTCCTTGAAAAGACTCAAAAAAATTAAATTTAGGAAAGTATTGTAAAGGTTAAAAGTATCCTGCAAGAAACAGTAGGCTAGTGTTTTAGTGATGTGGAGTCTGAACAGTTACTTGCTTCGTTTTTCAGGAGTACAGGTCAAGACGAAATGTGTAATTTTTACATGATGTTTATTGGGATGCTACATCACCTGATCCATTTCCTGAAGGCTCATTTTGTGTTGCGCAAGAAAGACAGAAGCTTGTGAGTGAAGAATATCCAATTGAAGGTACAATCCCTCTTCAGCCACATTCAGATTGGGAGCATAAAGCACATCAAGCCAAATTGTTTGGTAAGTTTTACTGCAATGCTTTCTTCAAGCTTTAGTTTTCATGCATTTCATAAAAAGGATAGTGAGAGGAAGAAAGATGAAAAGTAGAAAAAAATGAACGAGCTTAACGTTTAGATCGAAATGAGAAAATTTGAAGGGATGAGGACGAGAATAGAAGTTGTTCCAGCTGCTGATTTTAAAACACTTGCATTTTTTCTTCCTTAAAATTTATTTTCACTTTTTAATTTATCCAAGATACATAATTTTAAGCTTATTAGGATTGCATAGGGGGTCGGTTGATCTTTATTGGAGTACATACTGCTATCATTCGTAGTTGTTTTTATTGCGAATGGTTATTTTCGAGGGGATCCGAAACCAAGAAATTGTTTCAAAATTCACAGTCCTTAGTAATATTCACTTTCAAAATAACTCTGTTTCGTACTTTAGGAATCACTGATGGAGCAGTAGCAACATCTGTTGATGGCATCAAACTTGGACAAGTTTCTGCACTTAGTTTTGATTCATCTGGAAATTTGGTTATACTGCATCGTGGTAGCCGCTTCTGGAACTCGATGTATGGCGACTTCTGTTTTGGCAGTCTTTCGTTTTAATATGAGGAGATAATTCTGTTCCCCGAAACTTTCTTTCTTTTTAGGTCATTTGATATGAGAAACAATTTGCGAGACAATACACCTATTATGGAAGATGTGATTTTAGTTACATCATTTTCAAATAAGCCGAATGGAACGTTGTCATTACGTGTCAAATATGGCCGTGGAAAGTAATTTATTATTTCCGTTGGTGTGTTTGATAAAAACAAAACAGATTTCTTGCTTTTTTGGTTTCATATTTGTTATAACGACAAATCGGATGAGTTATACTATTAGGATTGGGGTTTATATGTACATGCACTTTTGTGTAAATGAATGAAGGCTGAAAAAAGTATTGGGCGTTTTTTTTCTTTTTTTTGCGCCATTGAACAGTGTTGGATAAAGCAGGATAAGTCCCTGTGCTTCCCAAAAAAGATGTCTGAGCGCAAAGGAATGGGTATGGTCAAAATCACATGACAGTATAGTTTACGTAATGGTCTGAATATCATATGACGTGAAGGCAATTATGTGATTTACGGAATGCTATCATGTTTCTGTCTTGGAGGTTAATTTGGCAAAGAAAGGAGAGAAAACGGATGAAGATATGAAAAGGATGACACGATTTACAAAGCAGTCCAAAGCGTCATGGAAAATACAGAAATATACGGGGGAAGGGAAATTGTTTACTTATGAATTGCTCTTTGGGCTGTTTCTTCATAACTTATGGATAAACTCAGACTGTCTTTTTAAGAAACAAAAAAAGGATCAGAATTTCATCGCTTTTTGCAGATTCTACATGCCACATGGTTTGGCAATTGATCAGCAAAATGAATATTACACAACTGACGTTGGCTCTCATCAAGTCATCAAATGGTCGCTTTCACATGGTTATGTTGTTATCTACTTTTTTGAATCATAACAAGGGGGAATACGAGATGGCGTGGAAAACAAGTTCTGACTTTTCTACCGTTCCTTCAGAATCAAAATACCAGTTAATTGAGTGACCACTGGTCTAACTTGATGTAAATCGATATCTTACTTTTAGTTACATCGGTTCCTATCTGGTCAATTTCATTAATGCGTAGAGAAATCTGACAGTATGCCTATATCTACCATAAACTGTTTAATTTATCATGCAAGAACTGATGCAGTAGTGGATGGCTGTGGTAGGTGAACTGGGTTGTTTAATTTTACCGCATAACTGTCGAAAATCCAAACAATATAAGGATCGCTGTTCAAATTATTATCAAGTCTTACTATTTGGATGAGTTCTAGGTTCGCTATCGCAGGTTTTTGCACTGGGTGAAAAATTTGTTCCTGGCGACGACCAGAAGCATTTTTGTAAACCAGCTGGCATTGCGGTCACTGTGGATGGAAGTATCTTTGTCGCTGACGGCTACTGCAATAATCGAATCATGAAATTCGATCGAAATGGGCAATTCCTAACTCAGTGGGGACAATCAAGTTATAACAATAGTAGGTTGTTTGTAGATAATTAAAAATTTCGGATGAAGTGGACTTCTTTAAGTATGTTCAATAATTTTAATACGCAGACTTTCTCCTTCAAATATTTCAAAACTTGGTCAATGTTTCAGGTTACCGCTAATTACAAAATTAATATGGAATAAAGTGGGAAGGGCTATCTTTCCCTTTCAATAAATTAGTATTTTTTTAGCATCTTAAAAATTGATATAAGATGTCAAATGAGCTTTTATACCACTTTCAGTGAATGGTATGGGAAGCCTACCTTTGGGCACTCTTTCCCTGCCACATGATATTGTTGCAAATAATGATGGTTCATTGTTGTATGTTAGTGATCGTGAAAATGCTCGAATACAAATATTTCGGAGTGATGGGCACGCAGTGGGCCAGATTGTCAATCCAGGAAACACTACTGCATTTGAGAATATTTATTCAGCGGATATTCATAGTACCACTTTCTTTCTGCTATCAATAAGCTCACTGAAAGCTTTTCTTCTGTGGTCTGGAACGATGTTTCTTTGAAGCAAAAGAAAATAGACATTGAATGATGGCATTAGAAAAAGTCGAAAAACAAATAAATGGATCGGAATGAACAATTCCACATTTGAGAATGCAAGAGTAATTCTCCAGTCGATTCGAACGTGTTAATAATGCTTTCATAAATCATCGTTTAAAAATCCTTAAATGTCTATCAGCTTTTTTCAGTGAGCTTATTAGTTCATAAGATATTTCATGAAACAAGATTGATCGCACAGTTTGAGTGTTTCTGAGTTCTGCTGGAATTGAATTCTATTCGAAAATTAATTTGATCTTTTCTAAATCAGGAATTAGTAATAAGTGATCTTTATGTCATAATTATATAATGTGTTACTAACACTTGTCGCTCTTCAAAAGCACTAGTTGTCATTATTGTGTTTTTACCCAGAAATTTGCATTTCTGTATCGAAATTTTTGGAGTGTGTTGCACTCATTTCTTTGTTTTCAAATTTCAGGTAATGTACTATACTTCATTCCTGGTAAACAGCAAAGCGGTCTACCCATACGTGTATTCAGTGCACGTGCGGAAGCTGCGCGAGTACAGTATTCATTTGAACCAAGAAATTACCCATTTAAAAGACCACACACAATTCGGGTTTCCAAGGATGGACGATACATCTACGTTGGGGAACTGGGTCAAGATGGTGGTCGAGTTTTACAGTTTGCAATAAATCCCAACTGGGATCAAACTGGTATGATTTTATTCATCTCCGAAAGATTGAAGAATTTCAATTTTTAACGTAAACATTTCATTCACTAATTACAATGGGTGAAGCTATCGGAAAGTTAGTGGTTGGAGGTAAGAAAGGAAAGGAGTGACAATCAGGTGACTCACAATGGGAGCGTGTATGAGATAACATGTAAATAACAATTGTATTTTACAAGATAACCAGAACTAAATTCAGAACTTGATAGCGCATTCATTTATTGAAGAAATTGTACGTCTAATACATTAAATGACTCTGTTTAATCCACTTGTTGGGTAAATTCTCAATGCTAAATTTCAGTTGTCAAACTCATGATGGCGTATTTTTGCTTCCTCAAAGTTACCAGAATATATTTCTTTTATTTTGATAATGATAGGCCTTGTCACTTCCGGACGCAGTGATTAGATTTTGCAAAAAGAAGGTAAAAGTGAAACATTTGAAATCGGATTTATTTGCAGCTAAATCCAAAATTCATTGCATATTGCAGGAAATGGCATCTTATTGCCGGATTTTGCAATAAATTCAACTTCACAGTTCTCGGTCCCTATCATACTTTTGGTTGTAATTATTGCTCTACCAGTATTGATCTTGTTTGCCTACAAACGAAAGAAATTTGTGCGCACTGGAAGGCAGTATTCTGTTTTAGATCGCGCGGTATGTATTCACATGGTCGTAAATCTAAATTTATTTCCCGAAATAGATATACCAGGAAAGGATATGGGGAATTATCCTCATAGGAAGTGGTTTTAGGTTTTATTTTTAATAAAGGAAGATCTTATCCTTATACTAATTCATTAAATACGTCGTTTCATGAATAAATTATTAGAGCCTGCATTAGATTTGTTCACACTGAAAAGTCGATATAAAATTTTCGGATTACTTACCAAGAATGGCATCATTATTGTATTGGAGTTCTTTTTCTGTTCAGAAAGCAGAAAACTTCTTTCTTGCAATTTTTGCTTTTTTAGGGCTTCAAGCCTTTGCGGACAGATGATTCGGAGACATCGAGTGACGATTCAGAGGATGATATTTGTTCTCAACAAAAAAACAAAAATAGGTTTTAACTGTTAGTTTTAGCCAAAGTGAAGATCGCCTACAATTGTTTCGTGTTCTTCTTCTAGGAATTCAACGAGAAACAAACACAACGAATTGTTCTTAAATTCCTATTTGTCCCATCTACCAACCAATACAACGATTTCTTTGCGGAAAAAATCGATTATGTCTTGTTATGTTTAGTGTCTGGGATGTAAATAATGATTGAAACAAACACAGTAGAACACAGATGTAGATCTTAGAATGATCATCCCTTCAGCGATCTTTAGATTCTTCAGACAAGAACAAATGCGAATGTGTTACTCTTACTGGGGAAATAGTAAACTTTTTCAAGGAAAAACGGAAGAATATCAGCGATCGAAATGATTTTGTGAAATTCTCCATTTCGAAAGATTTTTTTTGCTTAAATATTTATAAATTTTGAAAATCTCTTAATCTTACTATTTATGGATGATCTTTGTGATAAACAGTGGACTCTAATATAAAAAGTCCACTTTATGTCATTTTGGTTCTTCCTTCTTCCACCTGTACATTTTACATTTTTCCCTGTTTTTTCAAGCTTCTCACTTTGATTTTGAAATTTCCTTCACTTTTCCATTGTTCTTCATTTGATCTTTGATTTATTCTCTAATTCCTGTGTTTTGTTAGAACTTTTTTAGGATTTCGAGATATGGCATCTATTATCGTTATTATATATGTCTAGTACCGCTGCCATATGTGATATATCTATTAAAAGTCAATTTTTTTTCACTTTTTCCGCTAATCAATATAATATATCAATTCGATCAAGTCCTGAGACCTCTCCGATGTAACATATAATAATATAACGCTGATTTTTTTGTGGATTTGAAGGAAAAAAAAGGTCGAAATCACTGCGAATAATAACTATAGCACATGTACAGTCATGGTCTTCCATTTATAGTCTACAATAATTAATTAGTATATCACATACTCACTTTTCTAACTTATTATTTCTCTTGCTTCTTTTTTCTAGCATGTGATATTATCTTTTCATGGTTTACGATGCCTCAACATTTTTTGTTTTAAATTTTCTCTAACAAATTCTGAGATATGAAACAAAACTACCATATGTGGTAAGAATTTTTCTTCTACAGAATGACGATGTAGTGGGTCGAAAATTCATGAGTACTTTTGGGTTGTGCCAAAAGTTAAACTTTGAAAGATACCCGAGAAGCTAAGTCTTCTGCTAAATAAGTTGTTGCCTTTCTGAATACTATCTCTGTTTGAGATAATGAATGTTCTGAGATTTATTTTAGTAAAACTCCAACATGGGCTTCCAAATCAGCCGTGCGTGTTATTAATTTTGATTAATGTCTCACGTGCGCAAAAGTAATTATCGTCGATACATGGAAAATTCCCTTAATTCCCAAGAAACTCTCAAACATGCAATTTTCTGAAAAGGTCAAAGGGAACTGTTCCAGTGGATACTCTGTTAGCATGTGATACAATCTGTACATAACGTGACACGATGGGGAATGTGTCCCTGAGAAGTCCTTATGGAATGATGACAAATATATGAATAGGAGTTGGTCATTTCTCAGTATTTGAAGTTTCCATCTCCTGGTACTCTCTATAATTTAGTCATGTCCGCGATGCAACAAATGGTAATGAAATCCAACATTAATTTCTTAAGAAATCTGGAAAAAAAAAGATGGGTCAATGCGAATTATAACCATATCAAATACGAAGTCGTGGTCTTCTGTTCATGTTCTTCAATGACCAATCAATACTGCTATGATTAACTATGGCAGCAGTTAATGACATCTGGAATACCGAACCAAGAGTTTTTTCGCAATAATTGCATAGCACAAGAAATATGGAAAAGCTACATGACGTCATCGTCTTTAGCCACGGTGTTTTTATTGGGCACAAAAGTTAGAATGTCTGTAGTCCAAAAATCCTCCAATTTCCAAATAAAATATTTCCGATGAATGTTAATGTTCACGTACGTCATACTTTACAACTGTATAATTTCTTCTATGAAATTATTTAATGTGTTTACGTCAAAAATAACGAACAAAAACCCTTACTTTTTTCCAATGTTCAATTATTTCAGGTTAGCGTGTGTCTCCTTACGTCATGACAAAAATCCATCTGATACAGCAAATGTTATTGATGGATGGTTTGAAGATGTGTATCTAAAAATACGTCTACGTATCACATATATATATGTATACGCTTGTGTATGTATAGTACGCGTACGTGAAGATACGTGAAGCGAAGAGGGAGGGTGTTGTGGGTGTGCGTGGGTGTATGTTTGTCGTTGTCAAATGTGCAAACGCATTTGGGTGGTGTAGTGAAGCGTAGGGATGAATGCTTTCTTTTTCTTATGCATTGCGTGAAGCGAGAGAAGAGAAAAAAGGAAATAGAAGAGGGAAAAAAAGTGTAAGAGAGAGACGGAGAGAGAGAGAGAGGAGGGGAGGAGGGGAGAGTTGTATTGGGACAATGACAAATAGCCATCGACATCACTAGCATAAGGGATAGGGCCTACTTCTGAGATCATTTCAATCTTTCATCCTCATCATCTACTTTTCAAATGCTTACAATGCGTATTTACGTGATATACTGTTCACTTTGACGCATTTTAGCTTAACTTCCTGCATTAAGATTTCCAACATTTATGTAATCCCTCACTTATCTTGTACTTAATCCATAGGTCACATGAGTATCTTCTACTCTTCATTATGGTGACATTTACTTTACAATGAAGTTTCATCTATGTCAACATTACCGTGTTATATTTCTCTATAGGAACTAAAGTGTTTCAAATTGAAATTTAATGACTTTTGCTGAAAATTCAACTTTAATTTACAACGTTTCATATTTCATCAAGTGTAGAGCATATTGTTTGTAAATTTTCTGTATTAATTAGTATGATAATACTTACCGTTAGTATTTCGATATCATCCTTCTCATCATTATTGTAGACATTAAATCTAATGAATTTCATCATCTGAAACAATTACAGTTTAATTTAAAGTTTTTTTTGAAATGTATATGACAATTCGTGAGAACGTTTCTTATTCGTTTTCGTTCCTTTTTTCCCCTTCATCTCTTGTTGCAGGATGGAATATAACGATGGATGAAGGAGACGATTATGTACCACAGATTTCGCAGCTTGACTATTCACTGGTCGATAGCGGACAAAGTGTCTTGCAAAATGATCCCGGTATTTATAGCCCACCACCACCTCAAATACCTCTACAGCATCTCCAATATGGTAATGAAGCTACAGGAATGCATCCATGCCAATTACCCAATCAAATGGCTCCTCAAGGCATGCAACAGCAACAGGTAATTTTTACTCAAGTGCTGTTAGGCAGGGAAAAATGCCTCCTTTTCACGTGCTTGAAATTTACTAACAAAATAAGACACTTCTGTGTTCTCTACATTGTCCTAATCATTGTTAATCTCTTCAATATATTATAGCACAACGTATTTCCAGGTGATACAGCCTGCGCAAATACCGCAGCCAATTATGCAGAAACCGAAAGTTCAAAGACGTCGGAAAAATGCAGCTAATGTTGAACAGCAAGCCTTAGTGGGACAAACAATGGTTCCACCGTCATCGGTGCCTCCTAGGCAACAATACATGAATAGCATGACACCAATGCAGAGTATGGCGGCAATGTCTCAAAATCCCTTGATGTCTCATATACGGTCTACAGGACCAGGACCACAAATGCAGCAACAGATGATGGTCGGAAAGCATCACGCATCAAATGACATGCCACCAATACGTCATCCAAGTCTGTCATCCAATGTTCATGATCCATATCATCATCAGCACCAATGGTTTCAGCAACAGCAGTTTCGTGTTCCGAACAGTTACCCACCGCAACATCAGATATATCCAGCGCAACAACGCCCATCCATGAATCAGCTGATGCCTCAACAAACCTATTATTCGCAACAACATATACAACAAGATGCCAGAAATCCTATGTATTATCAACCACATCAAGTGTATGAGCAAGTACCGCGTTATCCACCATCCATGGGTCCACAGCTCGGTCCTTCACAGCAGTATTATCCGGAACAAGGCCAAAATTTCTATTCATCTCCAAATCATATAATGCAACAATCATCGCACTCACAAGCTATGACAGTGCATCAGCAAGTGCCCTCTGGATCCGGTGACTGGCAACAGCACAGTGTTAATTCGCAGCATCGCTTTACATCGCAGCCGCAATATCCACCATCTACCAGTATCCAGATTGAAATACAGCAGGTTATAGTTCAATGTTTCAGGCAGCTTGTATTCGGGAATCAGACATATTTATAGGTGACTTTACTCTTCCAGCAAAATTTCTTGTTATTGGAACTATTACTTGAAGTAAATTTCTTTAATAAAGACGATTTTCACTTAATGAAAAGTATGATTTGCATATTAAATCGGTGCTTTCATCACGCTTAGCTACGTTCCTTAGGGACTAAAAATTTTGTCTCTATAATGAAGCTTATTTAAGTTAATAGAGTCAATGGGAAGAAAAAGTGGGGTGGGAAGTAGTATCATTTCATATAGCACCAAATAAAACTTAGTATTTTGCAAACCTAAATGTTCAGTGTTCTTTTCAGGTTCAACAACAACTACAGTCGATGTATGAAATCCCAAATAGAAATATGCAAATAGCACAACAGATTGAACAGTTACAACTTCGTTTGCAATATTTACAGCAATGCTACATGAACGAATGTCATGGAAGTGCACAGCGAAACGAACAGCCTGTCTCCGTGATGCAGAGAGGCTCCGAAGTACAGGTATTATAGGCATCATATTGCAAGAAGTGGATTTCAGCAAAATTTGCTTTTGCATAGCGATTAAAGGAGATGTGTGTTCATTGTTCAGTGTTAAGAAATTAGGAATATTATAAGTGGAAGTAAATTGTTTTGAGCACAAATACAATGGTGTGCTTGGAATTATCCTGTTTGCTATTTGAGATGTGCTTTTTGTTAAACAGATGAATTTGATTTTTTCTTCAATGTTTAGATGAAATTCCCGTAAGAGTTCAAACTCAAGTTTTCTTTCGTTTTAGGTTAACATAAAACCGGACTTGCCAGGTCGTACTCTGATTAGCGTCTACCACCAGTATCCGCCTAATTCAGCCCCAGCGGCAAATGTGCCGCCTACAGAAAATGTCATTGCAAAAGACTGTGTTCCGCCAGAACCGATTCCATCACGTTCTCGTACTCCAATTGAGGATCCATCCGTACCGAGTGCTATCAGTGTTGCTGCAAGTCATATATCAAACGCTGTAAATAATTCAGTGCCGTTTATGGAGCCGCAGACACCTATGGTTTCAAGTGGAAATCCCATAACATCTTCAGCTTATGATGTGCAACAACACCAAAGAAGTTTATTTCAACCTGTTGTAGAGCCTAATGTAGCATTGGTAACAATGAAGTGCCAAAATCAACCAAAATATCAGGAAGTACTCGAACCACAACAGCAGCAGTCGAACGACACTCAAGCTAAATTAGAACAAGAATCGGGAACTGCTGATGGATTGTCCACTACTATCATTACTGCTGTTTCCGCTTGCGATGTTTTGGTTCCTAATAGAGCTAGCGAAGAAGTTATCTTGTCAGACAATCACTGTGTAACCGAAAATGTGGCGAAAAAGATAGAAGAAAATAATGATTCGGTTACTAACGAGTTCGCAACAGAAATCCGACGAGAGAAAATAATGAATTCAACTATAACAGATCCACAGGCAACTAGTAGTTTGCTTTCATCAGAAAATTCTGAGGCCCACCCGTCATCAAATGCATTGCCTGATATGGGAAGAGCCAAGTTGAACATGGAAGTAGCTATAAATTCGGAAGAAATCACGCAAAATACATTCAAAACTGATGAGGGATCCGAAAATTCGAGATTGGAAATTGATGTTCATGACCCGATTACTAATGATCTCGACCGTGAGGAGCAGTCAGACGTCGGAAAGATTGAAATTAAAGAAGAAAATAAAGACGATCTCTCACATGAAATGGAGAAGTCGAATGAAGAGCCAAAAAAGGAAGGCGAACCAGAAATTGGTGAGAAGCAGGAAATAATATTAGACGCGGAAGTAGATAAATGTGAATTCAGTGAATGGAAAAGCTCTGAAATACAAGATGAGAAAACAGAATTTCACGGCGTCAAACGAACGAAGGTCGATGAGGATGAGGAACGTACAGAAATTTCCACGGAAGCAACAACGATTGCTCAAGAAAGTGCCGCAGAAGAGGAAAAACTGGAAATAAATGAAGCCGATAAAGCGACATCCTCTGAAAAGCCAAAACGAAAAAGAGGGCGGCATCCAAAACGAGGACCGAGTAAAAAACGGAAAATTGAGGAAGAAGGAGAAATAAGTGTAGAAATAGATGACGAGGAATTTATCCCTGATTCTAATCGACGAATACGGAAACAACCTCGTACAAGACGACGTGTGGCAGCGGAACGTGATGATGCTCCGTTCGAGTACGTAGAAAAGCGGCGATCTGGTCGCTCAATAAATGTTGAAAAAAAGAGCTATGATTTACAGGCAAAATGGGATGAAATGGATGAAGAAATCGGTGAAGATGTCCAAAGCCAAAAAGAGAAAAAGCCGGAAGAGCAAAGCGAATTTATTATCGAAAAAATTATGGGTGTAAAAAAGAACGAGAGTGGACCGGATCTTTATTTTGTGAAATACAAAAATAAGGCCTATATTCATTGTCAGTGGAAGTCTCAATATGATTTGGAAGCTGGAGATCGTCGAGCTGCAGCAAAATTAAAACGTTTTCACCAAAAACGAGCTCACAGTTCGGATCAAGATGAGGATGAGCGGTTCAATAGTGATTTTATTATTGTTGAACGGGTGCTGGATGCGAACGAATTAGAGGGGAAGGATTTTGTTCTCGTTAAGTGGAAATCTTTACCTTATGAAGAAGTTACATGGGAAAAAGTAGAAATTATTCCAGAGGATAAAATTGAAGCGTATAAACGACGAAATACTTGTGATCCTTTGAAAGTAAAACCAAAACCACATCCATCGGCTTCGGATTGGTGTAAAATCCCTGAAGATATAACTTTCAAAGATAATAACCGGCTTCGGGAGTATCAGTTCGAAGGCGTAAATTGGCTTCTGTATTGCTACTATAACAAACAAAATTGCATTCTGGCTGATGAAATGGGTTTAGGAAAGACTGTACAAACAATATGTTTTTTGCAACGAGTTTATGATTACGGAATTCATGGTCCATTTTTGATTGTTGTCCCTTTGTCCACAATTCATAATTGGCAACGTGAATTCGAAACGTGGACTGATATGAATACTATTGTTTATCATGGAAGTGCTTCTAGTCGGCAGATTATTCAACAAACTGAATTCTGCTATCGACCAGAAGAATTAAAAGGAGGTAAACGTAACATTGTCAAATTTGATGCCTTAATTACCACATTTGAAATGGTTGTTAGTGACTGTGATATCCTGAAGCAGATTAGTTATCAAGTATGCATTATTGATGAAGCGCATCGATTAAAAAATCGAAATTGCAAGTTGCTTACCAGTGGACTACTTTCATTAACTGTAGAACACCGTGTATTGCTAACAGGAACACCACTGCAAAACAATATTGAAGAACTATATTCACTTCTGAATTTTCTGGAACCAGAGCAGTTCCATAGTTCATCTGCTTTTCTTGAGCAGTTTGGTCAATGTCAAACTGAGGATCAGGTACAACGATTACAAGATATTCTCAAACCAATGATGCTACGTCGTCTCAAGGAGGATGTTGAAAAGACTTTACAGCCAAAAGAGGAGACCATCATTGAGGTCATTTTTAATGCATTTGATAAATATTCGAGTTGGAAAAATAATCTCTACCTTATTAAGAAGCCTGTTATTTGGATCTGTTTTTTAGTCATAATACATTTTTATAGATACAGCTGTCGAATACCCAAAAGAAATACTACAGGGCAATACTGGAGAGAAATTTCTCACACCTCTGTAAGGGAACATCTGTACCCTCGTTAATGAATGCAATGATGGAATTGCGAAAATGCTGCAATCATCCGTTTCTTATAAGTGGTTCGTTTTCGAGGAAATGCTTTCATGTATAGCAAGGTTTCATATATATCAGGGATAATTTTTTCGAGGGGGGGGGGAGGGGGAACATGAGAAAGTGGAATGGAGACCGCGGAAGCTATGTATACTCAACTTTTTCGAGGGACTGACTAATATGTTTAAATTTTATCCAATACCGTATCCGTATATTTATATATATATATATGGTTAGCGTTGAAGACTTTGGACATGGGCCCAGTTGGAGCTTTCATTGGTGCAGATCTTGGTGGTAGTAGCAAATATTCAAGTGAGGTTCTTGAAGACAAGTAGAGAAGGATTCCATGTGAACAGCAGTTAAATGTGGGTTAATCGATCCCAAGATATTGGCTAATTATATATATATATATATATATATATATATATATATA